TTGTCCTGGGTGGTGTCAAGTTTCTTGTTTGTTGTTGGAGCTGCACCCATCCAAGCAAGTGGGGAGTATTCCATCACACTGCTGACTTGTGCCTTGTGGATGGTGGACAGGCTTTTGGGAGTCAAGAGGTGAATTATTCGCTGCAGTATTCCTATCCTCTGACCAGCTCTTGTAGACGCTGTGTTTATGTGACAAGTCCAGTTGAGTTTTTGGTCATTGGTAACCGAAGGATGTTGTTGGTTGAGGATTCAATGATGGTAACACCATTGAATGTCAAGGGGCAGTGGTTAGATTGTCTCTTATTTGAGATGGTCATTGCCTGGCATTTGTGTGGCACAAATATGACTTGCCACCTGTCAGCCCATGCCTGGATATTGTCGAGATCTTGTTGCATTTGAACCTGGGCTGCTTCAGTATCTGAATAGTTGTGAACGGTGCTAAACTTTGTGCAGTCATCAGCAAACATCCCCACTTCTGACCTTTATGATGGAGGGAAGTTCATTGATGAAGCAGCTGAAGATGTTTGGGCCTAGGACACTATCCTGAGGAACTCCTGCAGAGATGTCCTGGAGCTGAGATGAGTGACCTCTAATAACTATAACTATTTTCTTATGTGTCAGGTAAGATTCCAATCACTGGAGAGTTTGCCCCCTGATACCGACTGATTCTAGTTTGCTCGGGCTCCTTGAAGCCTGACTTAGTCGAATGCAGCCTTGATAAGAAGGGCTGTCATTTTACCTCACCTTTTGAGTTCAGCTCTTTTGTGCATGTTTGAACCAAGACTGTGATGAGGTCAGGAGCTGAGTGACCCTGATGGAACCCAAACTGGGTACCAGTGAGCAGGTTGATGCTGGGCAGGGACTGCTTGATAGAAACCTGTGGATGACACCTTCCATCACTTTACTAATAAGGAAATGTAAAATCATTGAACAGATCCAGTATAGAAGGAGACCATTCTCTCTATTAAATTGGTTTTGGCAAGTGCATCTCAGTTAGTCCCACTCCCCCCATCCTTTACACATAAACCTGCAAATTCCCTTTTGGAAGCTGCAATTGAATCTTCCTCCACCACACTCACTCACAGGTTGTACATTCCAAGTCCTAACCACTTGCTGCATTATTTATCTTTTCCTCCTGTTATCCGTTGGTTGTGTTGCAAATCAGCTTAAATTGATCATAGAATTACTAACATGTGGAAGCATGCCATTCGGCCCATCAAGTCCACAGCAATCCTCTGAAGAGCATCTCCCACCCAAACACTAATCCCCTACCCTGTCCCTGTAACCCTGTACTTCCCATCTAGCCTGCACATTCCTGGACACTGGGCAATTTAACATGGCTAATGCACCTAACCCGCACAGCTTTGGACTGATGTTCTCAGATTCTCAACTCTTGGGCCATTGGCGATAGCTTTACTGACGTCAACCTTCTGAAAAAAGATAGAAGGAGCTGTTATGATCTGAAACTGTTGAACTCTGAGTTGAGTCTAGCAGGGCACAGAACAGCAGGTCATCTTTCATTAATACTTGATCAAATGCATAGTTGTATCTAGTCAGCACAATTCTTTTTATTTTGCACTCACTTGCTACTTCGCCATCTGGCACCAGGAAGTTTTCAAACTTTGACTGAAGAAATTTATAAATCTTGGAAAATGACAGAGAAAATAAATTTGCTCCTGATGAAAGCAGTCTGTTGATCAATTATAGAAGAAACCAGCCAATTCATTGTACTGATTTCTCTCGTCAAGATTGTGAAATTCATCACAAACCTTTACCTTGGCATTTACTTTTAATTAATTCAGGAGTGTATTTTTTGCAAAAGGAAGATGAAAATATTTGATCAGGCATTTCATGCAGCAAATAAAATGCAATCCTTTGTATTTAAATGAACATTCTGAGCCTGTAAATCAGAAATATCCAATGATCATAAAATCCAGCGCAGAACGATATCACTCTGCCTATTGTACCCACTGGCTTTTTGAAAGAAGCTGAAAAATTGGTCTCATTTCCCTGATCCTTCTCCTTGGTTCTACATATGTTTCACTTTATATCAAGGATAAATCCAGTTCCCTTTCGAGCGTTGGTTTCAAATCTGAAAGAAAGACCTGCATTTTTATAGCACCATATATCTCAAAGCCAATCAAGTGCTATTGGAAGTGAAGTTATTATTGTGATGTAGAAAAACATGTAAACCAAATTGCATTCAGCAAACTCACACAGATCACAACATGATCATGAACAGCTAATTTTTTTTTGTGATGCTGATTAGGGATAAATATTGTCCAGGGCACCAGGGATGAATGTCCTTGTTGTTTTTCAGAATACTGCCAGGGCATCTTTTACATCCAGCTGAGCAAACAGATGGGGCTTCAGATCAACAACTCAGGGACAGTACCAACAATAGTCCAACGCACCTCCAGCAGCCCACAATGTACTGCACTGGAGTGAGGGACCTTGATTTTTGTTCTCAAGACCTGAAGTGGTACTTTGTAATCCTGGGCCGGGTGTGCTACCAACTGAGCCTTAGGCGACACCTTCTAAATATGATTCAACACACTTTCAGGCAATGCATTTCATATCATCAATGTTCCCCTAAACCGCTTTGAGGGTCTACACTTGGTGATCAGCATCCCGACATTGTTCCCACCATTAACTTCCAGTTTCAGTCATGCACAGACCTCAGAGGTCACAGATGTAAAGAAAATATGAGAGAATGTAGCACAGCACCATAATTGACGGCAAAAATATTCTTCTCATCACCAAGGCTGGAGGGTTTAAGTTATAAGGAGAAGCTGGATAGTCTGGGACTTTATTTTCCCTGGAGGCTGAGGGGTGACTTTATAGAGGTTTATAAAATCATGAGGGGCATGGATAGGGTGAATAGCCAAGGTCCCCACCCTCCACCCCAGGTTAGTGGAGTCCAAAACTAGAGCGCATAGGTTTAAAGTGAGAGGGGAAGGATTTAGAAGGGACCCAAGGGGAACATTTTCACACAGAGGTGGTGCATGTATAGAATGAGCTGCCAAAGGAAGTGTTAGAGGTGAATAAAATTACAACATTTAAAAAAACATTGGACATGTATGTGGGTAGGAAAGATTTAGACAGATATAAGCCAAATGCAAGAAAATGGGACTAGTTCAGTTTAGGAAACCTGGTTGGCATGATGAGTTAGGCTGAAGGGTCTGTTTCAGTGCTGTATAACTGTATGACTTTCCTTCCTCTTCCCCTCCTATTCTTTTTGCCAGTAATCTTAATTTTGGATCCCCTGGTTACCTGTGACCTGTCACTTCTATGTGTGTCTTTTAAATTACTATATTGAAACATCACAATTCAAAACCACTATTCAATAGTATTGATATTCAATAATATATAATAAATCATGTATGTTGAGATGGTGGGGAACTGTTGTTTCCATCAAAGCCTTGCTAAATTACAGAGACAAACTCTTGTGCGGTTTGGTTTATTTCAGCTTTGCATTTTAGTCAATCCAATCTCACTTATTTGCATTATCTATTCAAGAAGAAATAGCATTTGGATCAATTTTCAGTAGGGACAGTTTTCATGAACTCAGATATCCAGTGTGTATCTTGGGACCAGCATTTGAATCATTTGCAAAAGAAAATAAATGGTTCCCTTCAGTTAGTGCAAGTTGGCAGAACTAAAAGTGTCCATAACTACTGGGCACCTCTAGGTGAAATTATCTATTCACAAAGCCATAACAATGCCTCATACAAGCAGTGAACCAATGTATCCGCGCAGTAAGGACAATTCTGACATCAATTTGTACCTTTTGGGCAAATTAAGGGACCTTTACATTGCAGGTGGCTGCATTATTTTAGACCTTTGTATGTCTGATAGCTCACTGTCACCTTCTTAAGGGCAACTAGGGACAGGCAATAAATGCTGGCTCATTCAATGATTCCACTGTCCCACGAGTGAATAAGAACAACTTATTAATGTTAGGAAAAAGTGTGTTTTGTTTCATACATAACATTGATGTTATAAAATTCATCAAAGAGATCCATTTTGCTGAATCACTTTGTGCACTTCATTTTAGAAGATCCTCTCAATTTGTTTTCTGCTTAAATTAGAAAATAAAGAATGGGTTTGCAAAGATAAGATTTCTAAATTTCAGTTGGAGGGTGATTTATTTAGTAAGTAAACACTGCGTTTCCACTAGTCAGATGTGGCCAATATTGCCAGATTGTTGTCAAACTGGATAGATATCAGTGGAATGCATGGAGCAAGTATGGTCTGGTCGTGCCAGCTTCTGCACCATGTGAGCTGCTACTTCCCCAATGCAGGTTACTTCCACCACCCTCTTTAAAAGTAGGAAACTACATAGAATCCCTCCAATGTGGAAGCAGGCCATTCAGTCCACACCGACCTTCTGAAGAGCATCCCACCAGGATCCACCCCCCCCTACCCTATCCCTGTAACTCTGTAATTCCCACGGCTAACCCACCCAGCCTGCACATCTTGAGGGAGGAAACCAGAACATCTCGCGCAGACACTGGGCGAACGTGCAAACTCCACACTGATAGTCGCCTGAAGGTGGAATTGAACCCAGGTGTCTGGTGCTGTGAGGCAGCAGTGCTAACCACTGAGCTACCATGCTGCTGTTCAGGGCCTGCTTTCTCTAGAGTGGGAGATGGAAACCACTTCTGGTTTAACTAACCGAGTTCTTTGCAGTTAACAAGATATAGTTAATTGTGTATTAGCAACCAGTGACCAGTTACATTGACATTTACAGAAACTTTTAGGAGGACTAAATGTTAGGTCTCACTCTGTCCAGATCTTAAGCTGTTCTGCCCACGGGTCCCTCTGTCACCATCATAATGGGTGATGTTCAGAGCGGTCTTCAGAATTACCCCTTTCAGTCCCAAATACAACAGTGGATAACATTTCCAGATTTTCAGATTTTATTTTAGTGTTTGTGTGTGTTTAAGAATTGAGCAGGTCACCTTATATTGATGTGTTTACTCTCTTTTGCTGTGCCAGGGGAAATCATTTGCGAGCCTCCAAATAATAAATTGGACAAATTCACTGGGACACTATTTTGGAATGATAAGAAGTACTCACTAGATAATGAAAAGATGCTACTTCGAGGTTGCGTGCTACGGAACACAGAGTGGTGTTTTGGCTTGGTGATCTTTGCAGGTAAATCGCAGATCAGTGCAGACTGGATCATTAAGAATAATTCTGATAGCCTAATTTTAAAAAAAAGTCCTTTACTTTAATGTCCTCCGTATCCTTGGAATGTGCCAAAGTGCTTCAGGGGCAATTAAGCATTTTTGAAGTATAGCCACTTTTGTGTAAGATAGAAGATGCAGCAAGCTCCCACAAACAATGAGACAGTAACCACATGATCTGCTCTGGTGATGTTGATTGAATTATTGGCCATAATGTCTGGGGTAGATCCCTGCTCTTCTTTAAATAGAAGCAGAGGAATTGTTTATACCTACTGAAGAAGGTATATGGGGTCTTGGTTTAAAATCACATCCATGCAAAAGCAAGTCAAACACACAGCACTTCCCTCGTTATTACAGTGATTGTACACATTTAAAGCTGGAGTGGGACTTGAACCCACAGACAATGGTGACACCAATTAGGTCAAACTGATAATCTAACACTTAATAATTTGATTCAATATTATGAATAACACACCTTCATCTTTACATGTAGGGCCTGATACCAAGCTAATGCAGAACAGTGGCCGAACCAAATTCAAACGAACCAGCATAGACCGACTGATGAATACTTTGGTACTGTGGGTAAGTGAATGTGTTCACCTGTAGGGCTACAGAATATTTCTTATTTTACAGATTGGAAATAGGATTTTTTTAAAGCTTAACTTTTCATGAGATGCGGGCATCACTGGCATGACTGATATTTATTGTCCATCTCTAATTGTCCTTGAACTGGATGGCTTCAATTCAGAGGGCAGTTGACCGAATGAATGTGGATATGCATTCTCATGTAGGAACAGACCAGGAAAGACCCTGAAGGATATTAGTGAACCAGTTAGATTTTTATAACAATTAATGCTATTTCATGATTGTTATTACTGTGACTAGCTTTGTGATTTACAAAGTGAATTTTAAATTCCACCTGATGTTCTAGTGGGATTTGAACACATAACCTCTAAAGAATCAGCCAGTCTGTTGCATTATGAGTCCATTGACGTTACCGCTACGCTGCCATTTTGTATGGATTACTTATAGTTATGTGGAGTGTGTGCAATTTCATTTCATGAGTTTGGATGAGTAATAAGATGATACTTCTTTATTCTAGAGGTATTAGAGCTGCCTTCTCCTAGTCATTACTAGAAATGTTGAGGAATTCTGTCAATCGTCAACATAATTCAAATTGATTTCACAAACACTTACAACATACTGTATATGTTCAATCAAGCCTTTGAAGTAAATGACGTGGATATGTTAAAGAGGTGGGGATAGTTAGATTTGGAGGAGAAAGGAAAGGAATGGAGGAACTGCTGATAGGGTTAGAGGAAGAGTGGTGAGTGGAATCTCATGTGGACGATAGAACAAGTGAGCCAAATGGCCTACTTTCTGTGTCAAACTCAATATAATTGAAAAAAAACAAAGAACTGCAGATGCTGGACCAAAAACAGAAATTGCTGGAGAAACGCAACAAATCTGGCAACATCTGTGGAGAGAAAGTAGAATCAACATTTCAGGTCCAGTGACCTTTCTTCAGAACTGGTTGTAGCTAGGAAAAGGCAGTATATGTATTAAAGATGGTTGTGGGGGGAATGGAGATGGGGTCCAGAGACAAAGAAGATCAGTTGGGCAGACAAAGGGCTGGATAATGAACAGAAATAATTCAATGTAAATCAACTTCCATAACGGTTAATAAACCATTAATTTTATGTAACTATGAAACAACCCTGCCTTAATGTTTGAGTATATTTTGCTTTCCTGACATACCCTTCCCTTCTCTTATTTTGATCAGGGAAAGTGGGGTAGTCCTGCATATAGACAGCATGCAGCACAGCTAATAGTACTGAAGTCAACACTGTTGCAGGACTGAGTTCGCCAAACTTAGTATTTGCAAATGCTGGGGGATACGATACAGTAAATGAAGTGGGATCTCTTCTGAGTTAACTAAGATTCTCTCTCCAGATCTTTGGCTTCCTTGTGTGTATGGGAATCATTTTGGGAATTGGAAATTCCATTTGGGAAAGTGAAGTCGGGTATCATTTTCATATCTACCTGCCCTGGGACGAGTGGATGAAAAATGCGATTTTTTCGGGATTTCTAAGTTTCTGGTCGTACATAATTATCCTGAACACAGTTGTACCGATCTCACTGTATGTCAGGTAAGCCATTGTTCACAGTGAATTCTCTGTAGGATGATACATAGAGATTTCCTCTCATTCCTTTGCTTTCAACGTTCAATTTTATTTTTTTGATGTTAATTCCAGGGAATATTCGTGCGTTTATCAGACTGACAAATCCACAGTAGCACTCATCAGCTTAAAACTGCACTAGTTGGAATTATTGATGGAGGGATTCCTGGGTCATGCTATGACTGTGTCTAACAGATTGGCCTGTCAGCACAAGGCCCAGTTACTGGGCTCTTAGAGAAGGGCCCTCTGTAATTTGGTAAATCCACTGCATACAAAACGCCATCAGCAAACAATGGGAATTTTATTTTAAAGTATTTGAAGTTTCTGTCTGGAGCTAAGTATAAGGGATGCTCCCCAAAACCCTTTTAAGATTGGCAGATGTGTATATTGCCTCCATCAGGTGGAATAAATTTGACAAAAGAAATTTGCTGGTAGTTAAATATGAGAGAGTGTGATGCTTGAGGGTGAGATTTTCTGACTTTTTTTTTCCCCTCACCACCAACACCAATGCGTATCAGGTGCCTAAATGGTCACCCAGTAGGCAGGTTACCACTTCATCCCTTGGGACAGTGATGTCCCACTCCACCTGAAGTTGCTGGCCAATCAGGGGGCAGCACCACCATGAATAGCGGTGCCATGTCAGAGACTGAAGTTACAAGTTGCATAGCAACATTGATGTTCTGGAGCAGTAGGCAAGGTAAGTGACTTCCCAGGATTTGGCTTGTGGAGTGGGAGTCAGGGGCAAGCAAAGGAGGCTGGTTTTAAGTGGCCACTCTATGGTTAGTGGCCTGATTCACACCCAGACTGAGGACTTTTTTCCAGTGGTTGCTTGAAGACACCCTTAATTGATCATTATTTGATGACTAAAGCATCTCGATAACTAATGAGTCAGGAAAGTTGACCATGCGACTTCCCAGCCAGAACTGAAATTTGGAAGTGGCGGATAAGGTACCTTCCTGATGCCAATCTGACTGATTATCAGTGCATCTCAGAAGGGGAAGATTCTGCAAAGTGTGATTTAATGGATAAGAAATGCTGGTACATACCAATATGTGAACAGCCCCTATTAAGGTGCATAAAAAGAATGAAAGAAAGACTTTCACTTGAGTAGCAGAGATCATGAGTACCAAACATCTAGAAGTTCTCTACAGTGGAACATCTTTGAAGTGCAGTCACTGTTCTAACACAGGAAATTTTGCAACCAATTTACCCACAGCTAGCTCACACCAATAGCATGGTGATAATGACCAGATAATCTCTCTCTCAGAACATTTAAGGGATGAATATTGGCTAGAACACAGACGAAAATCACCAAATATCCTTACAATAGAATAGCATGTTTATTTCATTTAGTTACCTCTACGATGTTGCTTCCTCAAAGGAAACTGATCAGGACATATTCATCACATCCACCATCTCAACGTGTTGACGAAGGGAATCTTATTTATTTCTGTGACTTTTGATTTTCTTTTATAGTTGACTTTGAAGATTTCTCTTACTGCTATTTTCATGTGATTTCAATTAAAGTACTAAGTTTATTTTCCTTGCATTGTCCAGCTTTAGTCTTTGGGTTTGGTTTTTGACTGTTGCATGTTGCAATATTTTGTTATTTTAGTTTTGTCATCACAATTTCTTTTTCCGTTTGTGTCCATTGAAGTGTTGAAGTCATTCGACTTGGGCATAGCTACTTCATAAACTGGGATCGAAGGATGTATTATGCCAAGAAAAACACATCCGCTGAGGCACGAACCACGACACTTAATGAAGAACTGGGACAAATAGAGTACATATTTTCTGACAAAACAGGAACTCTTACGCAGAATATAATGATTTTCAACAAATGCTCAATTAATGGAAAAGCTTATGGTAAGTTTCGATGTTTTGTTTGAAAAAATAACTTGCATGTTGCACTTACAGTGGCAACTTTTGTGAAGTGCTCCTTGTTAAATGATTCTACTTTCGCCTTCCAAACCAGCCATAAAATTCAACAATGATATTCATATGTTTTTTTTAAAAATATTGAATAAAATAGAAGTCCTTGAGTCAAGGTGAAAACAACAAATGCTAGAGATCAAAGCGGGTCAGACAGCATCCATAGAGAGAGAGCAAGCTAACATTTTGAGTCGAGGTGATTCTTAATCAGAGCTGAAGTGGTGTGGAGGGGACAACATTTATGCTACAGTTGAGGGACAGGGTTGGTGGGGTGTAGAGTGCTGGGAGAGAGAAGATGTTGATAGCTCAAATTAAGTGGTCAGAATGTGAGTCAAGATGTCTTCTCTACTACACATTTTCAGTTATGTCACTGATGTGATTCACAAAGGATGTTCCCCAAAGTGACCACAGAGGGCAGTAGTGGGGCCCACAAGTGAAAACCTTCAAACTGATCCAAAGACTTGAAACTCACGAAAACGATGGTTGGAGCAGTACAGGGCATGACAGGGATATATCTCATTGAATGCTTAAAGCAAATAGTGCTTGCTTGAATCCCCTTTCACAGTTACCTCCATTGTTAAAGATAAGTGATAGTAATACATCACGATATACAATCCTATTTGTTTTATTAGTGTATTGTTTTAATTCTGTTTACATTGCATACCAATATGCAGACAAATATGTTTATGAGGAGAATTGGTTCAGTCTTCGTGGGTCAGTGAATGCCACTTGAATGTCCAACTGTGAAGAGCAGAGCCAGATTCTGCCTTTACTCAGCATTTATGCTGCTATTTGCACACCCTGGATTACTAACTTAGATTGAAAAAGTGCCTGACCTATACCAGTTCAGATCAGCGCGGACTGGGGTTGAATCTTGATTATTTCTAGTCTTTATAGTCCAGAGGCAGATACTCTACTTCCAAACCTTCTGGGGACCCATGCTAATTATGAGATTTGACTACTGCATATATGATAGGAAATTTTCAAAAAGCTATTCCTTCATTGTGAAGAGGGTCATATTGCATATGAATTGGTGACATGCTAGTGGTTCAGGTCATTTAGTTACTTGGGCATTTGCATTTTCAACTAGTCCTTGGTAGCACACCTGTGCTAATAGAAATAGACGGCTTTGAAAACAAGGTCAGTTTTGACTGCCATAATTAAAGTTTCCCCCTACAGCACTGTATCTATAATAAATAGATACAGTGCTGTAGGGGTAAACTTTAACTGTGGCAGTCAAAACTGTCTATAATAAATAGAACAGTCTTGATCCCAAACATATCTTGATTAAGAGCAAGCAATATAGTTTGGATGAACCATTAGCTAATGTCCTTAAATCTGACTGAAATATTTAAATGCCCTCCAAACTCTCAATAGTTTTTCCCTTATGCACATTTAAATAAAATTCAGTATAGAATTAGCTTTAAAAATTGAATTAATTGTGTTGCTGTGACGCAGTCTGGATAGTGAACAGACTGGCTATTTTTTACTTCATGCAAACTTGTGATTTTTTTTGGAATTCTCCTATCCCAAAGCAAATTATTTACTATTCTAATACATGAGTATGAAAGAAAGCCTGGTATAAATCCTGAGTGATTGTGTTACTGGGCTGATTACTGGAGAGGTTTCCCAGCAACGAGACTGCATCAGGAGCTGTCATGGAACAGTTCCCTATTATGACTCTCCTCTGCGCCCCATTCCATCCCCAACCCTCTACCTTCATCCTCATCTCCTGCCATACTGCCCATTTCCAATGGGCAACTCCTGTCCCAGCACTGCCAGGGTATGCCTGTTAAATGTGCATTCATTGCCCGCCAAAGGCCCACACACAACCAGGCTGCCCAGTGCGACCCATACTATTGGTAGTGGGGGCAGGGGTGGATGGACAGCTGATGAACAGGCAACCCATGGGTTTGACGTGCCTCACCCTCTCCCAAATGCCAAGCAGGGGAGTGTAAAATCCAAACAGAAACAAAAATTTCTGGAGAAGCTCAGCAGGTCTGGCAGCATCTGTGGAGAGAAATCAGAGTTAATGTTTCAGGGCCAAGGACCCTTCCTCAGTGTAAAATCCAACTGTGTGTGTATGCTGTTCTCAATGTGAGGCTGACAGTCTGACTTGTTTCACCAGACTGTTAGAACGTCAGTCTTCCCAGTTAATTTCCAGGTTTTACGTATTACTGTCTAAATTAAATATTGCTTTTTTCCCCTCTAAATGAGGAGTGGAAATTCTTAATGATTTTTTTGTACAATTCTTTTTCAGGAGATGCTTATGATGAAATGGGACATAAAATTGAAATATCTGAGGTAGGGGCACAATGAGGAAAGTGTTTGAAAATAGGTGATCACTAGAATTTTATAGATGTTTGTAACCAGGTGTCATTGTGTTGAAAAACAATTTTCGTGTAGCCAACTTTTGTTCAAGCTGTGATCTGACTTGAAACCTTATTTCATATTCAAACCTACCCACACCAGATCTCAACCCAACAGTCTCTGCTGAAGTCTAATGTCAGCTTTACAATCCCAAACTTTCATCCTTATACTCACCTGAGATTTGTCATAAAGTTTAGGCTCATCCTGATCTAACATGCCACTCTAACCCTGAGGACCTGAATTTATCTAGTTAATTATTCCAGAATAAATAGTGCAATACCTTCATTAGTATAGATTTATATTCCCTGTATATGATTATACAAACATAAGGTTGTTGACTTGCTCGCCGAGCTGGCTTGTTTTCATTCAGACATTTCGTCACCATGCTAGGTAACATCATCAGTGAGGCCTCCAATGAAGCGATGTTGTTCTACTCCGCTCGGAATTTATACTGTCTGGTCTGTTATAGTGAGTAGTGCAATTTCCGGTTTTGATCTGTATGGGTTTATATATGGGGTCCAATTCTATATGTTCATTGATAGCATTATGGGTGGAGAGCCATGCGTGTCTATGTTTGGCTTGGGCTGCTAGAATAACACCGCTTCGTCGGAGGCCTCACTGATAATGTTACCTAGCATGGTGACGAAACGTCGGAACAAAAACAAGCCAGCTCAGCGAGTAAGTCAACAACCTTACCCACAACCCGAGCTACAGATCTTTGCTAAAACTTCAAATACAGACATGAATTAATGGATTCTTCAAGCGTATTTATCCTATCCACATTTCAACCTTGTCCTGTCACAAGATCTCAAGTTTTTAATTTGGACTAGCTGATCCTTGTGTCTCTTTTTATGGCTAGGATACGTTTGTGTAACCTCAGTGTTCATTAGCTTGTGCGTTTTAGTTGCCACTTCAAAATCAACCCTATTACTTTCTTAAACCAACCCTAAACTTTCCTTTTTTTTAATGCCATCCTGCTCTGTCTCCTCCCTTTCCTGTCAACAAACGCTACCACCTTTTCTTTCTCCCCATTTGGATACTTTGCCCCTATTGAGGGTCGTCATGGCAAAGAATGAAGCTCACAAATTGCATATTGATATTATTGACCGACTCTACTCCCACCCCCTCATAAGCAATAAGTTCCTGCTCTCTGAAGAGTTCTTCCTCGCATCCCCCGTACATCTCTTGCTTAAAACCAGACACCTGTGTCCAGTTCTTGTCTCATCAGCTATTGGAAGCAGCATTTTGGGTTATCAAATTTGTCCTCAATCTCCTTTGATGTAAGAGAAAAACCCCTTGTATCTACATTCGCTCATTCCTGGAATCATTATGGTAAATCTGCTCTGCACCCTCTCAACAATCCTCACATCGGTCCTCAAGTGCAATGATCAAAACAGCATGCAACACTCCACAGCTTCATAAAGGCTCAGCATTAATTTTGTACTCAGTGCCTCTATTTATGAAGTTCAAGGTCTCATAGACGTCAGTGACTACTCTGTCAAGATCTGGAGCCTCAGGTCCCTTTGTCCCTGCGTCCCTGCATACTCTTTAGCACTGTGTCATTGGCGGCATCTCCCAATCCATTGTGGCAAAATGCATGTTTCTAAGCATCAAATTCCATTTGTCACCAGTCTGCCCTTTCAACCAGCATATTTATGTCCTGTTGCAGTTGATGTGTATCATCCTTCATGTTTGCCACACCTGTAAGTTTGTTATCATCCACAGCTTTAAAAATTTTATATTGCTTTTTGTTGTAATATCCATGACATGAATATACATCTAAAAAAAAGCAGCCTTAGCATTGAGCCTTGGGGGAGCACCACTGTGTATCATCTTCCTATCCTGTCTGTGCTCCTTTCTGATGAAGCAGAAATTCTTTAATCTGATAGGTTGAGAACGACTGTTGATTGTCCTATTCCCCCAGGCCCCAGATCCCTGTAGGAGACACTAAACTGGAATCCAATCCCAAACTCAGCAGGTAGTGAATCTGTGGAATTCTTTATGGGAGAGGTCTGCCAAGGCTGGGTCATTAAGTACATTCAAAGCCGAAAAGACAGATTTTTAATCAGTAAAGGAATCGTGGGCTATCTGGATAAAGCAGGAAAGTGATGTTGAGAATTATCAGATCAGCAATTGCCTCATCGAATGGGATAGCAGACTCAATGGGGCTAATGGGCTACTCCTACTCTTACAACCTTGTTGTCACAGTTTATCCTGAGGTGAGCTTCCGAACTCTTACATGTGTCATCACTTAGATTGCCTATTTCCACCTCTGTGATGTCACTGAACTTTTCCAATGTCTTAGTTTATCTGCTGCTGAAATCTTCATCCATACCTTTGTTACCTCAAGATTTGCTAGTCTCCTATGTAAGTAAAGTCACCAAATAAAGTCATCACAGTCCTTTCGGACCATAGGCTGCTCTCTCGTTATAGAGAGCTGTCTGCTGGTGGTTTAACCTGAAGGAGGGTCATTCATGTTCACCTCAGCCAGTGCAGGAATTGAACCCACACTGTTGGTGTCATTCTGCATCGCAAACCACCAATCCAACCAACTCCCAAATGCTACCCTCCATAAACTTGAGAAAACTCTGCTGCTAATGTCTTAAGTTGCAGGAAACCCCGTTCCCCTATCAGCCCTGTGTTTGCGGATCTACATTGGCTCCCAGTCAACCAAAAGCTCGATTATAAAATTAGCATTCTGGTTTTCAAATTCCTCCATGGTCTTGCCATGCCCAGACTCTGGCATCTGCTGCAGCTCTGCCACCCTCTGAGATACCCATGTTCCTTAAATTCTAATTTCGTTTGTGTTCCCATGCAAGATTGCACTGTTTTTGGCCACATTTTCAATTGCTTTTCTCTAGGCCTGAAGTTCTGGAAGTGTCCTCTTCATAACCTCTCTACCTCACTACCTCCTAGAAGACATTTCTTAAAACCTGCCTCTTTGACAAACTGGTCATCCAACTCAATACTTCCAATTGCAGCTCAATGTCATATTTTATTTGCTAATGTCCCTGTGAAGTGCCATGGAACATTTCAATAAAAATCTTGTATAAATATCAGTTCTTGTAGCATAGGGAGCACTGCTTTCTTCATTGACATATGAACATTAACACTGAAGAACCACTACTCATTGTAGAACCCCTGAGTGAAATCTAAATATTGACAACCCTGTCTAGTGCAAAGGAAAGTCTAAAGAATGACACACAGATCTATGTCATGTTTTCTTACAAATTACACGTTAGAAGGGCCTGAGATGTGGTCACTGTTCTTATAGCAACAGTAGACATCTTTAGTGAAAGTCAGCATTGATAAAATGTACAGATATTAATAAAGTGCAAACTGTTTTATTTCCAAGTTGAGAAAAGTGTGTGAATTGGACAGGGTGGCGCAGTGGCTCAATGGTTAGCACTGCTGCCTCTCAGTGCCAGGGACCTGGGTTCGATTCTACCCTTGGACGACTGTCTGTACGGAGTTTGTACATTCTCCCTGTGTCTGCGTGCGTTTCCTCCCACAGTCCGAAGATGTGCTGATTAGGTGGATTAGCCATGCTAAATTGCCCGTAGTGCCTCGGATAGGAAGTGTAGGGGGTGGGATGCTCCTCAGAGGGTCAGTGTGGACTTGATGGGCCAAATGGCCTGTTTCTACACTGTAGGGATTCTATGATAATTCTTTTTACTGTGCACTTTAGCAGCTTATGTAACAGCAGTGCATGAGTAATGTTTGTAATTAAAACATATTAAATACACAGTTCTCAAGTTCAGAGATTGAACATACAGTTACATCTGATAAAAGCTTCAAGGAGCCTTAATACATTCACTTGTATCTTGTGTAATCTAAATTAATAACTAGCAGCGAACGTGGTTCATATCTAATTCAGTGGCAGGCCAAGTGATCAGACTGTATGTAACCTCATCAGAATGTAATCTAAAAGTTATTTATCTTAATTCATTCTGTTCATTTTCCTACTTAAATTGTTTCCTTTGATGCAAATGCCCCTTTGGGAAAAATTGCAATGAGTTGTGCAATCATAGTATTAATTCTGTGCAATAAAGCACATAAAAGTTTAGATTGAACTTCTATTCGCAAAAAAAGTCATTAAAATGTGTATGATTCCAGTATTGAAGTTTTAATCATTTTTCCCCTGTGATAAATAATGTTTGGGGTTTTTTCACATTGTAACTGATATGGAAGTGAGACTGTTGTAATAGTTTCATTGAAAAATGAGCCATTCCAAGAAAAGGAGATAAGAAATTACATCTGTAGAGAGCCTTTCACATCCTTAAAATTTTCCACAGGCATAAATTATTTTTGAAGCATAGTTTTTTGTTGAGACACAGCAGCCTAGTTGTACTTAACCAGATAGAATAAGAAATAATGAGGTAAACGGCCAGTAACCTGGTTTTGATGTTGGTGTTCAAAAGATGAATATTGTGTAGGTTACAGGGACAAATCAAATTAAATAGATTCCAAATTCAATCCTCTGAGTTAGCTGAATCATTCAAATTTCATCGAAGGAGATTTATTTGGAGAAATACATCAGTGTTAGTCAGGAAATGGCAATTTTAGCACTTAACGGATGTGCAAATTGCAAAAGATATTTAATACTCAAAAAGGTTAGTCTGCTGTGCTTAACTCCATGATGTGTGATTTGCTTTAGTTGTGTTTTTTATTGCCATTCACTGTTGTTGCACCTGCTTTCCTATAAACATTTCTTTTCTGAATCTGATTGCATGTTTGTCACTCAAGAAGTTGAGCATGCATGGCCATCCTTTTCCAAATTTTCTAACTTCTAATTAAAGAATTGTAGTATGGTGAGGGAACATACAATGTGCTCCATGCTGCCATTTCTGATTTGCAGGGAATACTTAAGTGTAGTTTAAAGGCTAAAAGGCCTTTTTCTGTGTTGTTCCGTATAAAATGGACCTCATTAAGATATTCAATGTAAAGTTCCCAACATTGCATTGTGCACTTCCTCACTCTGATGTCTTTGATATTGATGGGTCCATACTACCATTTAAGATTAATGCCGTAGACAATCATTTCTGGAACAATGGTTCAATTTAAGATTGAACCTGAAACAGACTGAGAAACACCACTTTAAGATTTGGATGCAAAGAGGAAGATTTAAGATCACGAGCAAACTTCAATACACGCTCCTGACCGGCATATCACAGTTATAAATAGGATTTTAGGAAAATGTAAAGCAGATGTGTAAAGTTTGCTGTAATTTTTACAGCCTCATTTGTTCTCTCTTCAATTCGTAGAAAACGCTGTCTGTGGATTTTTCATTCAATACGTTAGCAGATCTAAAGTTTAAATTTTATGATGCCAGTCTGGTGGAAGCAATAAAACTGGGGGATTCATCTGTGCACGAGTTCTTCAGATTGCTTTCGCTCTGCCATACAGTGATGCCAGAGGAGAAAAATGAAGGTAATATTAAAAATTACAAGCTGGAAACAAAACCAGCTTTCCTTGGAGTGTGAAACTTTCATTAGGATAGTTCTTGTTTAGTGGCCATGCAAAAGGAATCATAGCTTGTGCAGTTTGGAAGAAAAGACATTTTGAGAATTCAGGCCATGAGATAATTAAATGAGATTTAATAGGGTTCATTCTACAGATTTTAAAAAAAGCAGTCTATTTAAATGTATCTATGAAAATACGTGCAATTGTCACTATAGTGTGAAATACCGAATTGTGGTGACCTTGTTTGAGTGTCTTCTGCTTTGCCAAAAATAAATGCACGTCTGTTTTACACAAATCTGCGGTCATCTTTTACGTTAGCTGGCCTCATATGTGATTGGAGCTCAGGTTTACTGAGAATAAGAGTTTTGGTATAGACAGGTTAAGTGATTGTGCAAAAACCTGGCAGACGGTTAGCTCAGTTGGCTGGATGGCTGGTTTGCAATGCAGAGTGACACCAACAGCGTGCTTTTGGTTCCTACACCGCTGAGGTTACCATGAAGGACTGTCCTTCTCAATCTCTTCCCCTCCCTTGAGGCATGATGACCCTCAGGTTAAACCTCTCTAATGAGAGAGCAGATCTGTGGTGTGGTAAGTCTGTGGCAACTTTACAAGGGACAAAATAATTTCATCCTAATGTGCAAAGCCTCGTACTGATAACTTTACGGTCCTAGAATTTTGTGGGAATTAAACCTTTAAAAATTTGCTAGGTTTACATAAATATGAGCAGTATAATAACTGTAAACTGTTAGGTAACTAGAAAGTATCAATCATCATCATTATCAACATCACTGGTGGTCCCTCACAGATGAGGGTGACTCTCTTCCACTCTCAGGGTGAGTCTGTAGGTGGCTGTACAGTCCAATGTAGCTTCTGCAGATTCTGCCACACTGGGGGCAAAAGATAGCCTGAGAAGGGGTGAGTGGAGCATTAGTGTGGCAGCACGCTCCTTACGTTGTTTTCGCCTGGCTTCTGTTTTTTCCCCACAGCAAGTCTTGAGGTGCTTGATGCCTTAAGTATCAAACACCATTTTCAACTATCCATTCATTCAACAATATTCAGTCTGGTCATCTTGCATCAAACATGCCATCCCATAGTCCAATACATTTCATGTTAAATTCCCAATTTGCACTATTGACTTGCTCAATTCAGATGATAGTTTGACAGTGGCTTTGAATTATCAGGAGTAAACTGTCTACATGATATGTCGTGTTTTTTAAAATGGATTTCCAACCCTTGGATTTTTGTCTCCAGGAGAACTTGTTTACCAAGCCCAGTCACCTGATGAAGGAGCCTTGGTCACAGCTGCAAGAAACTTTGGTTTTGTTTTTCGATCCCGCACCCCAGAGACCATCACGGTGAATGAGATGGGCCAGCCCGTTATATACCAACTACTGGCCATTTTGGATTTCAACAACGTGCGGAAGAGGATGTCAGTGATTGGTGGGTTGAATACATAAAAAAATTATTTACATTCACTGATTTTCTAGGAAGATTATTGTCCGTTTGTACTTTGTTCCTTTAGAACAGTGGAACTGATCAGAATGATGTGCCTTATTTATTTTTGTAGCATTGATATTACCTCTGCCTTAATTATCTTGTATGTTAGTTAGAAATCCTGAAGGACAAATAAGACTTTACTCAAAGGGAGCTGATACAATTTTGTTTGAGAGACTTCATCCGTCTAGTGAAGACCTGATGTGTGTGACCTCAGACCATCTCAGTGTAAGTGCCTCTTCTGTTCTTTATGTATGTTTAATAGTTATCGGGTTAGATTGATAAACAATACAATAATTAAATTGGGTCTCGCATGATATTGTCACAATCGATCGAATATAATATCGGTGCACTTGGATTCTGCATTTATTTATTTCCTACTCTTCTTTCTTAATAATTTAGAACTTGCCATGTAATGCATTGAATGTAGGAATGATTGTTCAATTTGGTAGCATTTCAAAGTGGTCATGATTTTAACAACGGCAGTGCTCCAGAAATGAGGCTGGAAGACCAAACTAGTCTTTGGCCTCTTCATAATAATTTGGCACAGCTCATTGGTTGGGTTGGAATGAATTTTGGATGGTGCTAAAGTCCAGCGGGGTAAGGGGGAGGTGATTGGAAAAGGGCAACAGAGAAGGCTGGCAGAAAACCATAGTTGTCTTGTTAAGCCTGTTCCATCTCTCAGGCTCCTAATCCACGCAGCACACGCTGTAGCTTTTGTCATGAGGGTCCTCCTGTGACCACCTGGTGAGGCAGCACAAGTCCGAGGATTATTGGCCTGCGCTAGTCCTTCTGAACGCTGATTGTCTAAACAAATTCAGGAATCGAGCTTTGAAGTGGATGGAGGAGCCTCATTTCAAGATTAAAATGGGGCCTGTGTTCACTTTAGGCAGCTGTCAGCATCACCCAAAGAAAGTAAAAGACCTGATCAGTTTAGCCACGGCCAGAGCACCCATGTCAATTTGGCAAAGGCCTTTGCTTTGCTGAATCGATTACTGTTGTTTCCTGTTTATGCCTGTAAAATGGTTGCTACTATGTTGAATTTAGACATGTAGCTGATTAAGCCAAATGTATTGTCACCATAGATTGGTAGCTGATTAGCTTTTTGAAACAATTTTTACTTGGTTTGAATCTCAACAATTCTGAGTTACAGTGTTTTTAGCAACTCGTTCCCATCAGTAATTGCCCTTGAGAAAATAGTGCCTTCTTAAACTACTACATTCCATGTAGTGAAAATGTGTCCAGTGTTGTTGGAGAGGGATCTCCAGGATTTGTGCCAGCAATGATGAAGGAATGATGATATCTTTCCAGTTCAGGATGTTTCATGACTTGGAGATTAAAGTGTAACTGGTAGTTTTCACATTCACCTGCTGCCTTGTTCTTCCAGATAAGTGGAGATTATGGATATGGAAGGTGCTGTCAAAGAAGTCTCGGCAAGTTGTAAATAGTGCACAATGTAGCCGTAGCATGCTGGGGTTGGAGGTAGTCAATATTGAAGGTGCTGGAATAGGTGCCAAATAATGACGTTATTTTGTCCTGTATAGTGTTGAGCTTTTAAAATGTCATTGGAGCTGCACTCACCCAGGTCAGTGGAGAGTATTCCATCACACTCCTGACGTGCACCTTGTAGATGGGGGACAATTGTAACTACAAGCTTCAAGGAGTTTTGGCAAAACTAGAGTCAATAGAAATCATGGAGAAAAATCTTCATTGTCTGAAGTCATATCTTGCGCAAAGGAACATGGCTGTGGTTGTTGGAGTCAATTATCTCAGCTCCAGGACATCTCTGCAGGAGTTCCTCAAGGTAATGTCCTTGACTCAACTATCTTCAGTTGTTTCATCAATGACCTTCCCTCCAGCATAAGATCAGAAGGGGACACATTTCCTGATGCTTGCGTTTGATTTGTTGAACGTTCAACACTATTTGCGTCTCCCCAGACATTGAAGCAGTTTGTGTTTCTATGCAGCAAGACCTGGACTATATTCAGAGTGGCTGAAAATGGCAAGTAACATTCACCCCACATACATGCCAGGCAATGTCGAAGTCCAACGAGAGAGAACCTGATAATCTCCTCAAGATATTCAGTGGTGTTACAATCACTGAATCCATCACTGTCAACAGCCTGGGGTTACCATTGACCACAAACTGAACTGGACAGTTGCTACAAGAACAAGTAGGATAGGAATCCTGAGGTGAATAACTCACCTCCTAACTCCTCAAAGTCTGTCCACCATCTGCAAGGCACAAGTCAGGAGTGTGATGGAATACTATGCATTTGCCTGGAATTGATGCAGCTCCTACAACCATCAAGAAGCTCCACACTATCCAGGACAAAGCAGCCCAGTTGATTGGAACCCCATCCACTGCCTTTAACATTCATTGCCTTCATCGCTGAAGTACAATGGCAACTACGTGGTGCACTGCAGAAACTCACTCAGACTGACCCAACAGCATCTTCCAAACACATGACCTCTAGCACTTAGAAGAACAAGGGCAGCAGACTAATGGGAACACCATGAGAGTGGTGCAGAGGGCTATCAAGGCTAGATCATTAAGTATATTCAAGGCTGAGATAAACAGATTTTTAATCAATAAGGGAATCAAGGGTAATGGGAAAAAGGCAGGAAAGTAGAGGTTGAGAATTACCAGGTCAACCACAATCTCTTTGAGTGATGGAGCAGATTCAATGGGCTGAATGGCCTGCTTCTGTTCCTGTGTCTTATGATCTTGTGACCATCACCGACAAGTTCCTTTCCAATTAAAACACCAACCTGATCTGAAACTACAGGCAGAATCAGAAAGGGCCCTAAGTGATGTGCTCTGTGACGAGAAATGTGGGAGAACTGTGTGAGAAGGCAAGTGAGGCCTACCTCAACATCAGGAGCAACAAATGACATCTTTCCAACAGACTTCCAGGTGTCGAGCTGAGGTTCCCACCAGGCAGGGGCAAGGTGCCTATTGAGGGGGTTATTGCTTGTGTTTGGCCTTGTTAACTGTGCATCTCAACGCATTAGTGTGCAGCCTGCTATCCTACCAGCCACCACTAGGAAACTATTCACTGAGAACTCTCAACAAGAAAATTTGAGGGGGTTAACTGCTCCTCTGGGTGGCCATCTTGGACACCCAGCAACAATATCTCAGGACGTGCTTCAAAGAATCATAGTGTCATACCATGGAAACATTTAAATGTTGTCACTGCACCTGTATTGACCACTTCCTCTGGCAGTTCATTTCACATATGAACCACTGTCTGTGTGAAAACGTTGTCCCTCAGGTCCTTTTTCTGCTGGCATCTGACCCCTGCCAGTCTCTCGGAACCTCATGGCATCTCTCCAATCCATTTAAAGGAAGCTTCTGAACTTTAAAGCACACTTTAGGGTATACCAGGAACTAATATTGAAATACTGTAACAAGCACACTCTGTACACTGGAACAGGCACCCTGGCTGCATATTAGGGCTGCTCACTTGCTCCCTCCCTGTACACTCTACTTGAACTTTCCTGAATGCTGATAGCCTTGGCTTGCCTTTTTGAACTTTACCCTCCAAGCCAGGCTCATATTTTCTATGTCTTGCCTTGCTATTTAGCGCAGACAGTGAGGCCAGGAAGCTTGTTGTGTTTATCGGCAGTGCTTTGTCAAGTCAGGGGAGATAGCCTTCAGGGTTCTAGAACAGTCAATCAAGGGCAGACACTGTTATCAGTCCAGAGGCTCGGACACAATCGGCCACTTTATAAGGGGTGAGGAGCTGAATGTCAGGCAGTCCACCAGCTGTTTTGGCTCCTCCTGCCCTATTGTGGGCTGTTTTCTCTGGAATGAGTAAAGGAGGCATTGAGTGGGATGAAAGTGGGTGGCATGGCTGTTAGTTCTGGTGCTGGTAGAACAAATGTATTTAGGTCTCCCGAGCAAGCAGTATGTACAATGTGGGAAAGTGTGAGGTCATACACTTTGGTAAGAAGAATAAAAGCATGGACTGTTTTCTAAATGGGGAGAAAATTCAGAAGTCTGAAGAGCAAAGAGACTTGGGAGTTCTAGTCCAGGATTCTCTCAAGGTAAACTTGCAGGTTGAGTCAGTAGTTAGGAAGACAAATGCAACTTTGGCATTTATTTTGAGAGGACTTGAATATAGAAAAAGGGATGTACTTCTGAGGCTCTATAAGGCTCTGGTCCGGGCACGTTTGGAGTATTGTACACAGTTTTGGTCCCCATGTCTCAGGATAGATGTACTGGCCCTGGAGCGGGTTCAGAGGAGGTTCACAAGAATGGCCCCAGGAATGGAAAGCTTAACATATGAGGAACGTTTGAGGACTCTGGATCTATACTCGATGGAGTTTAGAAGGATGGGGGGGATCTAATTGAAACTTACAGAATACTGAATGGACTGGATGTTGGGAAGATGTTTCCATTGTTAGGAGAGACTAGGACCCGAGGGCAAAGCCTTAGAGTAAAGGGAAGACCTTTTAGATCGGAGAAAAGGAGAAATTTCTACAGCCACAGAATGATGAATCTATGGAATTCACTGCCACAGAAAGCTGTGGAGTCCAGGTCATTGAGTACATTTAAGATGGAGATAGATAGGTTCTTGATTGTCAAGGGGATCAAGGCTTACGGGGAGAAAACGGTAGAATGGGTTTGAGAAACTTATCTGCCATGATTGAATGGTGGAGCAGACTTGATGGGCTGAATGGCCTAATTTCTGCTCCTGTGTCTTATGGTCAGTAGGCAGTTCAGAGGCTGTGCAGGGTTGGGGGTTTGGGGTGTGTGATAGTGAGTGAAAGAAGATGAATTAAAAAGAAGTTTCTCTACAGCAACTTACAATTAGGTAGCACCTTTTGCGCAATAAATCACCTCAATGTACTTGATAGAAATATTATAGAAGAAAGTATGAGATCCACAACCGCATAGTGGGTCGGATCTCAAACAACAATGAGACATCGACAGGATAGTTAAAAAGGTGTTTGACACACTTGCCTTCAAGCTCAGTCCTTTCAATATAGGAGTTGGGAAGTCATGTTGAGGTTGTACAGGATACTGGTGAGACCTCTTCTGGAATACTGTGTCCAGTTCTGGTCTCCCAGTTATAGGAAAGATATTATTAAACTGGAGAGTGTTCAGATGAGATTTACAAGGATGTTGCCGGGTATGGAAGATTTTGAGTTATAAAGAAGGTCTGAATAGGCTGGGACTTTTTTCCCTGGAGCAGAGGAGGTTGAGAGGTGACCTTAAAGAA